AAGAGTACAGGACCTTAACCTCCCAGCCCCCTGCAAGAACTTCTTTCCACTCCAATTCAGTTCATTTCCGACACTGTTTGCCTGGAGTTAGTTACCTGGACCCCATGGGTTAAGGGCTCAGTCCCTCAAGACTGCCCCCACTTCAGATGCCAGTGCGGGCTGTCACCTGTGTGTCTGACCTACTGGCTATAACTGGAGATCCCCACAAGCCCTCCTCAGGTTTGATCATTTGCTAGAGCATCTCACAGAACTCGGGAAAACTTTACTTACTAGATTACCAGTTTATTATAAAGGATACAGATCAAGAAGAACCAGATGAAAGATGCGGAGGGCAAGGGGTATGGGAAGGAGCGTGGGCACCAACACCCTCTCTGCATGCACCACTTTCCCAGCATCCAGATGTGTTCAGGAAGTTCTCCAAGCCCCTCCAGCTGGGGTTTTTATAGAGGCTTCATTAAGTGGATATGATGGATTGATGAACTCATTGGTGATTGAACTCAATCTCCAGCCCCTCCCCTCCCTGGAAAGTTCCAGCTCTAATGATGTGGCTGGTTCCTCTGGCGACCAGACCCCTATCCCTAAGGGCTTTCCCAACGTCACCCCGTTAATATGAACTCAGGTGTGGTCAGCGGGGCTTGTTCTGAATTTTAAAAGGTGCTCCTTTCACCTTTGTCACTCTATCACTTAGAGAATTCCCGGGGTTTTAGGAGCTCTGTGCCTGGAATGAGAGGAAGACCAAGTATATATTTCTTATTACAAATCACAATACCAGCTTCCCAGAGGAGGCGACATCTGAGCTGGGTCTTGATGGGTGGGGAAGGTGTGCTGGGCAGAGGGAATGTGTGTGCGCAGACGTGGGGCTCACCTGACCTGAGCAAAAGGAAGTCGGGCTGGACTCAGAGCAGAGTTGAGAGCCAGGCAGTGACAGGAGAGCACTAGGCCTGCACCTCCTGGGTCTGTGAAGCCCAGTGCAGCCCTGACAATGGAAGTTTGTCAGTAGAAGTTTGTCGAATGAATGAGTGAGCAAAGCTGGAAAAGTAAGCAGGCGCCAGTGAAGGAAGAGCCTGAAAATGGTGGGGAGTTTTTATGCAGAGACCTGTCTTCAGAGGCAGAGAGACTGGGTCAGGGTTGTGGCTGAGAACAGGGACCCCCACTCCCCAAAAACAACAACAACAAAGAAACAAGTTCTGATTCAAAGTAGAAGCTCATTTTCTCCCAGTTTTAGTTCTTTCTCTCGATGCCCCGCCCAGTGCTCCGCTCCAGGCAGGCCCACTCTACGTTTGGCCCAAGGAGACAGGGAAGGGGGAGGGGGAAGGCTGGGGAGGGCTTTGAAGGCCCAGCCAAGGAGCATGGACTTTCTTCTCTTGGCAGTGGAGAGCCATGGCAGGTTCTAGAGCAGCCGTGGGCAAACTACGGCCCGATCCGGCCCGTTTGAAATGAATAAAACTAAAAAAAAAAAAGACCGTACCCTTTTATGTAATGATGTTTACTTTGAATTTATATTAGTTCCTACAAACACTCCATCCATGCTTTTGTTCCGGCCTCCGGTCCAGTTTAAGAACCCATTGTGGCCCTCGAGTCAAAAAGTTTGCCCACCCCTGTTCTAGAGCCAAGGAGGACCGGACAAGATTGGGGTTTGACAGGCTCCTAGGCCCACAATAGGACGCAGATGTCCTGAAATCAGAGCAGAAAGGTTGGAAAGTGGTGGAGAGCAAAGGCTCCGTTGCCCCTGCCTAGAGTGAGGCCTGCTCCGCCCCCTCCTGGCTGTGCAGCCTTAGACAAGCCCTTGACCTCTCTGATCCTGGGACTCTTGAGGAATGAGATCGGCCAGCGTCATTCCCTAAATCATTCAGCTGGGGGCTGGCACAAGCAACAACCTCGCTGAGCCCGTTTCCTCGTTTCGGGAACAGGGACAGTGATGTGTGCATTGGAGTTCACCTGCTGCCCCAGATAAGCTACCACTGAAGGGGGACAGGCAGGCAGAAGGGCCAGGCTCTGCCCATCCAGGAAGAATGTGGGCACAGGGCTCAGGCCCTAATCCTGTCCTGGGGGCCCTGCAGGTGCTCCTGGCTGGCCTTTGAGGATCTGGCCAATGCTTGCCTCCTGGTGACCCCTCTTCCTCCCCCCACCCCCCATCTCTGCTCCAGGGCACGGAGCTGCCTCCCAGGCTTTGCCCCTGCTGCTTCTTTGGCCTGCACTGCCTCCCCCCACCCCCCACCCCCACTTCTTGAAAGACTTGGATGTGTGCGAGGGGGGAGGCACGATGGGCGGGGTCAGGGAAGATGTTAACTCGGACCTCATACCAGGGCCGATGAGGGATACCAGAGCACCCCACCTGAAGGTCCCCTAACCTCTGCCCCACCCTCACCACCAGGTAACCCCCCAAGGCCGAGCCCAGAGCCAGAGGAGCCCCGGCGGCCAGCCCCGGCTGAACGCAGCAGCGGCTCTGGGACCCCCAAGCTGATCCAGCGTGCACTGCTGCGCGGCACTGCCCTGCTCGCCTCACTGGGCCTCGGCCGCGACCTGCAGCCGCCTGGGGGCCAGGGCCGAGAGCGTGGGGAGCCCCAGCCAACGCCCCCCACCCTGTCTCCCACCCAGCCCCCTTCCCCACTCCCCTCCCGGCTCATCCGCTCTTCCCCCAAGACGCCCCAAGCCCCCATTTCTCGGTTGAGCCCCGACGCCCCAGGCCCACCCACCCCCGCGCCCCTGCTGCTGGAGCTGGGTGTCCCTGCAGGTCAGCCGTCGGCCAAGAGTCCCAGACGCGAGGAAGGGAGGCGTGGTGAGTGGCCCAGTGCAGGCCTCCTGCCTGGTGATGGGGAGGGGAGGAAGGGCTGGTGGGGGCATGCAGGGCAGTAGGGCCAGGCCCACTTCTCCGCTGGTCCCCACACCTGGGTGCTGGACCCCACACCTGAGCGCTGGTCCCCACACCTGAGTGCTGGACCCCACACCTGAGCGCTGGTCCCCACACCTGGGCGCTGGTCCCCACACCTGAGCGCTGGTCCCCACACCTGGGCGCTGGGCCCCACACCTGAGTGCTGGACCCCATACCTGAGCGCTGGTCCCCACACCTGGGCGCTGGTCCCCACACCTGAGTGCTGGACCCCACACCTGAGCGCTGGGCCCCACACCTGGGCGCTGGGCCCCACACCTGGGCGCTGGGCCCCACACCTGGGCGCTGGGCCCCACACCTGGGCGCTGGGCCCCACACCTGGGCGCTGGGCACGCTTGAAAGGAACTGAATTCTGAGTTCAGCCACCAGTGGGCAGGAGTGGAGCAGGGCCCGCCAGGCTAGTTGAGAAATAATAGAAGGAATAATGACAACAGTGATGGCAGACGCCTGCTCGTTGCCTGCTGGTGCGGGCACTGTTTCTAGTGCTTTACAGAGATTGCTGCAATTACTGTAGGAACCCTGTGAACCAGCTACTCTTGTTAGACCCATTTTTATTTTTTTTTATTTTTATTTTTTTTATTTATTCATTTTTTTAAAGCAATAGCTTTCTTTTTTTAACATATATTTTATTGATTTTTTACAGAGAGGAAGGGAGAGAGATAGAGAGTTAGAAACATCGATGAGAGAGAAACATCGATCAGCTGCCTCCTGCACATCCCCCACTGGGGAAGTGCCTGCAACCCAGGTACATGCCCTTGACCGGAATCGAACCTGGGACCTTTCAGTCCGCAGGCCGACGCTCTATCCACTGAGCCAAACCGGCTTTGGCTAGGCCCATTTTTAAAAGAGGAAATTGAAGGCACAGGGAGAGCCAGAGACTTGCGGCTCCCACTGCCAAGCAGTGGAGCTGGGATCCAAGCCCAGGCCTGTCTGCTCTAGAGGCCCGGCTCCCACCCACCACGTTATAGACAGATGCTCTGGGGAGCAAAAGGGGCCATGACGTGAGGAGTCGAGTAGCTCGCTGTGCAGATGGGAAAACAGGCCTCCTGGGACCCCCAAGAGTAGGTGCTGCCTGACCCTGTGCTCTTCTCCCACTCGTCACAGGAAGCACTGTTTCACCCCCGCCAGGGATATCCCGCTCTGCTCCTGGCACCCCGGGCACCCCACGCTCCCCGCCCCTGGGCCTCATCAGCCGACCTCGGCCCTCACCCCTTCGCAGCCGCATTGACCCGTGGAGCTTCGTGTCAGCTGGACCACGGCCTTCGCCCCTGCCCTCGCCACAGCCTGCGCCCCGCCGGGCGCCCTGGACCTTGTTCCCAGACTCAGACCCCTTCTGGGACTCTCCACCTGCCAACCCCTTCCGGGGGCGGCCTCAGGACTGCAGGGCGCAGACCAAAGACATGGGTGCCCAGGCCCCGTGGATGCCGGAGGCAGGGCCGTGAGTGGACCAGCTGCTCCCCACGCTCCAGCTGCCCCAGAGGAGCCACAGCATACACTGGAACAGGAGCCGGGCCAGCCGCTGACGCTGCCTTGGCTTCCCCCAGGGACCCCGCCCCCTTTGGGGGTCAGGAACACTACACTGCACAGGAAGCCTTCACACTGGATGGGGGGCCTGCACCCCCCGCATACCTGCAACCTGTGGGTCCCCTGACTTACCTGCCCCACTGGGGCTGACACTGTACCCAGCTGGTTAGGAGGACCATAGCCTGTCTCAGGGAATTGCCCCCAGGGGGAGCGCAGGGAGGAGGGGAGGTGCGAGGGAGAGGGGCCGGCCTCAGCTGTCACCAGCACTTTTGACCAAGTCCTGCTACTGTGGCCCCTGCCCCAGGGCTTAGTGCCTGAACCCCCCTGCCCTGGGGGTCATCTAGGGCCAGGGTTCTCTAGGTGCCTTCCTGCTGCCCCGGCCAGGGTTGGGGCCTCGGCCTCAGGATCCAATGAAGCCAAATAAACTCCCCAAGCTATCTCTCCAAGCACAGCCTGTCACCTTTCTTGGAAGTAACCAGGGATCCAACCCATCACACGATGCTGGTGACTTCCTGCCCCCAACAAACGGTCAGTCGGCCTGGGCCTGGGCTGGTGCCTTGCACCACACCCCTCTCCTGGGATCAAGTCCACCAGCTTCAGTCAGGCATTCAAGGCCCTTGTCAGCCACCCTGGCACCCACACAAACTGGCCTCACCCACCTCCTCACCCTTGCCAGGCTTTTCCCACCGTTGCCGGTGACTTCACCTGACTAGTCCTGCTGCCGGAAGGGCCCTGCTTAGCCTCTGGGGCCAGTTCGTGGTACCTCCCCTGGGACTCTTGGCCATGCTGCTCCCAACGGGGCAGCTCGCTGAACTCAGGAACACACAGCCCTCTGGGCAGCACTGTGGAGGTTTGTCCTGACTGCCTATCGCGGGGTCTGGACACGGGAGTCACCTACCCTGGCACCTGGCTCCACTCGCTCTCCTTACTACCGTGGGGTTCTGAGGGTTATGCGAGTCCCAGTCCGGGCTCCCCTCCCCTTCATGGTGCATGGCAGCCAGGCTCGCCATCTGCAGTGTTCGGAGTTACCAGGAAGGACTTGGAACGGGGACCTGACAGCACCATCTCTCCCAAGCGCTCTGTGTCAACACCTTGCCACCCTTGTCCCCAGCAGACCCACCCCAATCCCCTATGCCTCTCCCACTCAGCTGCCCAGCCACCACCTTCCGTCCGGGATGCATACAGTAATGCCCCCGCAGGTCTCCTGGGCCACACATCCTCAAGGCCCTGTGTCCTTACCTCTCAGCCCGTTCCTCTCACACCCCAGCTCTTCCCCACCTTGACTAGCCTCTTCTATCCGCAGCTAAACTGTCACTCCTACAGGAACCTTCCCAGCGAGAGCCCCAGCCTGAGCTCTCGCCCATGGCCCAGGTTTCCTTCAGGGAGCGTATGACACCGTGAACCTCACGCTTCCTTGCCAACAGGTTCCTGTGTGGACACCAGAAAGGAAGGGGCGTGTGTCTGTCCTCTCCCGCTGTCCTCGGCATCCAGGCCGCCGCTGAGCGGATGGGGCGTGTGTGACTGAGTAGTCGTGCCCCCGAGTAAACGCTGCAGTGTGATTCTGAGCCAGTCACTGACCTCTCTGGGCCTCGCCTTCCTCCCCTGGTCCTCACCACCCCAGCTTTGGGGAATTGGGCAAATACTGGCCGTAGAACCTGGGAGGAGCGATCCAGCTCATCGCCAAGCCTGAGCTGCCTCCTCTGCCTCCACTCACACTCGCCCAGCTGCGTCCCAGGCTTCCCTCACGCTCAGCCACCCACGCAGCACCTCCTCCCGGCCCCACCTGCCAACCCTCCCAGTTGCGTGAGGTGGAGCAGCCAGCTTTCAGGACACCCCAGACTCCCAGGCGCACACCATGGGGGGGCTGAGGCCCTGGGCTCGATACGGGCTACTGATCGTGGCTCACCTGCTGGCTCTGGGCCTTGGGGCTGCGGTGCTCCAGGCCCTGGAGGGGCCCCCAGCACGCCGGCTCCAGGCCCAGCTCAGGGCCGAGCTGGCCACTTTCCAGGCGGAGTACGGGGCATGCTTGCCAACCGGGGCACTGGAGGAGCTGCTGGGCACCGCCCTGGCAGCCCAGGCCCATGGGATCTCCAGCCTGGGCAATGTCTCAAAGGCTGGGAACTGGGATCTGCCCTCAGCCCTGCTCTTCACCGCCAGCATCCTCACCACCACGGGTAAGGCTGCCAGGTGGCTGGGCAGAGGGGGCCTCCTAATTCCAGCGCCCCCTGGGGCCCCTGGGGGTACAACCCTTCCCCCAGCTCCAAAGTGCCAGGCAGAGCCCAGACTCTATTAGGCCTGACATCACAGCTGGGTCTCTCCACACCAACACACCCCAACTGGTGCCTCAACTTCAGCTGCCAGGAGGGGCGTGGCCTCCCCAGCCCCACCCCAAGGCACACTTTGAGGCCCAGGAGAGGTGCCCAAGACCCCATGGGCCCGCAGCAAGGCAGGGAACACGTTATGGGATGGATGATTGGGTGGGGGGAAATGGAGTGAGCCTCGGGCGTACAGATGGGCAGCACTGGCTCAGGAGGGAACGTGAGGGAAGGCTCCCAGGTGAGAAGTCTTGATGAGATGTTAGCCGGGGCACAGAGATGAGGGGTGAAGGAATTCCTGGCAGAGGAAACAGCATGTGTGAAGGGCCGAAGAAATAAAGCAATGGGACACACAGCCCTGGTTTTTTTGGTTGGTGTCTTTTTTTTTTTTTGTCAGCAAAGTCTCTACATATTTTTTTATTTTTTTTAATATATTTTATTGATTTTTTACAGGGAGGCAGGGAGAGGGATAGAGAGTTAGAAACATCAATGAGAGAAACATCGATCAGCTGCCTCCTGCACACCCCCTACCGGGGATGTGCCTGCAACCAAGGTACATGCCCTTGGTCGGAATCGAACCTGGGACCATTCAGTCCGCAGGCCGACGCTCTATCCACTGAGCCAAACCGGTTAGGGCTCTACATTTTTTTTAAAAATTAATCTGTTTTCCAACTTCTGTTGGAAAAATCAGAAAACCTATTTGCATTGAGCCAGAATTCCTGCAAGGCAACGTTTGGCAGCAGTGGAACAGGGCCTGGCCTTTGAGGCAGAGCACAGGCTCTCAGTGCACCCCAGTCCCCACCACTCCCTTTTGTCTCCTGGTCCCCACCACTGCCTGGCTCCTCGAGGCGTTTGAGTTTACAAGCTCTGGACTAGCTGGGCCTGTTCTCCCGCTTTCTCACCTCTCCCTGCTTTCCAGAAGCTGACCTGGCACTGAAGGCCCTTTCTCACGCATGCTGCCTCCCCTGCAGCTCTTCCTGTGGTGCCTTGACCGGTTTCCTGCCCGTCTCCCCCACCGCATGGCAGGGCCTGAGCAGACTCAGATTCCAGCGCAAGGCCCAGCTCACAGGAGAACTCAAAACACCTTTGGGGGATGAGAGGGTGGGTGATGCCCTGCCCAGTGGGGGCAGAAGTATCTGCCAAAGGCAGAGCTGAGGATCTTAGAAAGCCAGGCTCCCTCTGGGGCAGGACAGCAATTCTCAGAATTGTCCCAGCCCCAAGAGGACTGAGGGCAGACTGTCTCTTTTAATTTTTCACTTTCCAGAAAATAAAAGAGTCGTCCAGAGAGGTTAAGGGACTTGCCCAAGGCTCTCCAGTTGATGAGAAGAGCCAGAGCATGGGCCCCAACGGTTCCAGCAGTTTCAGCCACTAGAGGGCAGCCTTCCACAGGCTTGTTGGGGGAAGTGGGGACCCTAGCAGGCATGCACACAAGGGCTCATTGCCCACTGTCCTTCTCCTGTTCAGGTTACGGCCACATGGCCCCGCTCTCAGCAGGTGGAAAGGCCTTCTGTGTGGTCTACGCGGCCCTGGGGCTGCCAGCTTCCCTAGCACTTGTGGCCACACTGCGCCACTGCCTGCTGCCTCTGCTCAGCTGCCCGGTTGCCTGGGTAGCTGTCCGCTGGCAGCTGACCCCAGCCAGGGCCGCGCTGCTGCAGGCACTTGGACTGGGCCTGCTAGTGGCCGGTATCTTCGTGCTGCTGCCAGCGCTGCTGCTGTGGGGTCTGCAGGGCGACGACAGCCTGCTGGAGGCCATCTACTTCTGCTTCGGCTCACTCAGCACCATCGGCCTGGGGGACCTGCTGCCTGGTCGTGGCCGTGACCTGAATCCAGTGCTTTACCACCTTGGCCAGATCGCACTTCTCGGTGAGTTCAGCTGCCCACGAGCACAGGTGGGAGGAGAGGAGCCTGGACTACAACTCCCATACACCACTGGGGGAGGCTGAGCCTCTCAGGTGTAGGGGATTTCAGTTGGAAGAACTCGGCAGAGAATTGTGAGTGGCATCAGGTACCAGGGTGGGTCCCCAGGCGAGGGGGTGGGCAGAGAGCATCATCGGCTCCCCAAAAGCTGCCCGAGAACCTTTTCTCCCCAGGCTACTTGCTCCTGGGGCTCCTGGCCATGCTGCTGGCAGTGGAGACGTTTTCGGAGCTGCCACAGGCCCGTGCCTTGGTGAAGTTCTTTGGGTCCAGTGGCCCTTTGACTGCTGAGGACCAAGGTGGCATCCTGGGTCAGGATGAACTGGCCCTCAGCACCCTGCCCCCCTCAACTGCAGCCCCAGAACAGGCCCCCGCCTGCTGACAGGTGTTCGGTGATGGAGTTAACTCCTTTCAGGTGAAGAAGCCCGAGGGGAATTCTCTAGAGATGAAGGGGAAGCATGGATATGAGAACCTCAGAGAATAAAATGTTAACAAAAAATAAAATGGTTGCCCTAGCTGGTTTGGCTCGGTGGATAGAGCGTCAGCCTTTGGACTGAAGGGTCCCAGGTTCGATTCCAGCCAAAGGCACTTGCCCAGGTGGTGGGCCCGATCCCCAATGGGGTGTGCAGGAGGCGGCCGATTCTCTCTCATCGTTGATGTTTCTATCTCTCTCTCTCCCTCTCCTTCCTCTCTAAAATCAATAAAAATATTTTTTAAAAAGAGTGAATCTTAAAAAAATAAATAAATAAAATGGTCAACAACCCCACCTCTGTTTTTGTCTCTTCTTTGGAAATGGTTGTTCCCTGCAGTGAACCCAAAGCCCCATCAACCTTGGGAGGTCCCGCCTCCATTGGCATCTGGGAACCTCAAAGCCCCACAGCCCCGTCGAGGATCGCAGACAACCTTATCGGCCTAAGCACCAACCCCTTCCGTCCATTGAAACCCCAGCTGCCCCGAGAAAGAGTCCGTGTGGCCTTGTCCAACTTTATTGCTCACCGGGAACAGGAAGCGAGGGGCGGGCGCGGCAGTTCACAGCCACCCGGCTCCCCTGGGGCTGGCCACCCGGGCCCTGCCGTCGAGGAGGGGTTCTGCGCGGCGCTCCGGAGACCCGCAGCCCCCGCGAACACGCACACACTCACACACAGACAAATAAATACGGCCCGAGGGCGCGGCACCCCGCCGCTCCGGTCCTACGGCCCCCGGGGCCGCCCGACCCTCCCGGGGAAGGAGCGACAGCGGCCCCTACAGGCCGCGCGCGGCAGCCGAGGGGCCGGGTCGTCGGGAGCGCACGCCGGGCGGCGACCGGAAAGCCGAGGACTCCGGCGGCGGCTCAGCTCAGCACACAGCGTTCGCGCCGGCTCAGCTGCCGGCTCAGCTTGCGGCGCCGCTGCTCCAGGCCGCGCTCCAGGCGCTCGTCCTCCTCCAGGGCGCTGGGGCGGGGCGGGTGCGCGTCAGCCGCGGGGCCATGCCCGGCGCTCGGGGGTTCGCCCCCGGGCTCCCGGCTCCCAGCTCCCAGCTCCCAGCTCCCGGGCCCTCCCAGCTCCCAGCTCCCAGCTCCCGGGCCCTCCCAGCTCCCAGCTCCCGGCTCCCGGGCCCTCCCAGCTCCCAGCTCCCAGCTCCCAGCTCCCGGGCCCTCCCAGCTCCCAGCTCCCAGCTCCCGGGCCCTCCCGCTCCCAGCTCCCAGCTCCCAGCTCCCAGGCCCTCCCAGCTCCCAGCTCCCAGCTCCCGGGCCCCTCCCAGCTCCCAGCTCCCAGCTCCCAGCTCCCAGCTCCCAGCTCCCGGGCCCTCCCAGCTCCCAGCTCCCAGCTCCCAGCTCCCGGGCCTCCCAGCTCCCAGCTCCCAGCTCCCGGGCCCTCCCAGCTCCCAGCTCCGGGCCCTCCCAGCTCCCAGCTCCCGGCTCCCGGGCCCTCCCAGCTCCCGCTCCCAGCTCCCGGGCCCTCCCAGCTCCCAGCTCCCAGCTCCAGCTCCCAGCTCCCGGCCCTCCCAGCTCCCAGCTCCCAGCTCCCAGCTCCCGGGCCTCCCAGCTCCAGCTCCCAGCTCCCGGGCCCTCCCAGCTCCCAGCTCCCAGCTCCCGGGCCCTCCCAGCTCCCAGCTCCCCGCTCCCGGCCCCTCCCAGCTCCCAGCTCCCAGCTCCCGGGCCCTCCCAGCTCCCAGCTCCCAGCTCCCAGCTCCCGGGCCCTCCCAGCTCCCAGTTCCGGGGCCCTCCCAGCTCCCAGCTCCCGGGCCCACCCAGCTCCCAGCTCCCAGCTCCCAGCTCCCGGGCCCACCCAGCTCCCAGCTCCCAGCTCCCAGCTCCCGGGCCCACCCAGCTCCCAGCTCCCAGCTCCCGGGCCCACCCAGCTCCCAGCTCCCAGCTCCCAGCTCCCAGCTCCCGGGCCCACCCAGCTCCCAGCTCCCAGCTCCCGGGCCCACCCAGCTCCCAGCTCCCAGCTCCCGGGCCCACCCAGCTCCCAGCTCCCAGCTCCCAGCTCCCACCTCCCAGCTCCCACCTCCCAGCGCGCCCTGGCCCCACTCACATCCGCTCCTTGTGGTCCAAGTTCCGGACCAGCTCGTCGCGCTGGTTCACCAACGACACCAACTCCTCCAGCAAGAGCTGCTCTCGGTGCTGCTGCGCCGCCGTTTTCAGCCAGTCTGAGGGCGGAAGGGGCGGAGGGTCAGGAGGCACCGGCCGCGGCCCTGTCCTCCACCCAGGCCCCTCCGGCCGCATCTCCCACCTTCGATGGCCAGCATGGCCCGTAGCTCCCGGCTCAGCAGCTCGAACCTCCGCTCCAAGTCCTGCTCCTCGATGCTGGGAGGCGGAGGTGCGGGTCAGGGGAAGGGGACCGGGAGAGCCACTCCCGGCCCCCACGCACCTCACCCCCCAGTTCTCCCGAGGGCCGGGCTGAGGGCACAGCGCTCTCCTGGAGTCAGCCATCTCTTTTGTTCCAACTGTTCCCCAATTGTTGGAAGTGTATATTGTCTCCTCCCACCCCCACCCCTTTTTATTTTAATTATTGATTTGAGAGAGGGAGAAACATTGATATTGTTGTCCCACTTACATATGCATTCTTTGGTTGCTTCTTGTATGTGCCCTGACCAGAGCAAACCTGCAACCCTGGCCTGTGGGGATGACTTTCTAACCAGCTGAGCTACCGGCCAGGGGGCCCCGCCCTTTAAAAACAAGAAACAGCCCTGTGTGTTGCTCAGTGGGTTAGAGCATCGCTCCCTGCACTGAATGGTGGTGGGTTCAATCCCAGTTGGGGCGCATATGGGAGGCAAACCAATGGATATATCTCCCTCTCTCCCTTCCTCTCTCTCTCTAGAATCAATGAAAAAACAAACATATCCTCTGGTGAGGATTAAAAAAATAATAAAATGAAATAATAACTCAGTGGGATTATTTGCATGAACACTACTCATAAACAGCAAGTGTTAAATTAAAATTATTCTGAAAAATGATCCAAAATGCAGGACTACAAAGGCGATTGTTGCCAGAGTGGCTTCTCTGATGCCACTGGGGGAACCAGCTCAGGTCTCTCTGGGCCTCAGTTTCCCTAACTGTAAAGGAACAGGGTCAAACTAGGGCACTCAGCCCCGACCTGTCTGCACCACATTTTTCTCTCATTTGTAAAATTAGCACCAATTTAAGAGGTACACACTTTAAACAGGAAATTGGGGGAGGGGGGAATAAGATGGCTGAGCAATTTTTCAAAAAGACCTTCATAGAGAGAAGAAAGCAGTGAGTCGCTCTCATCAAAGGAGCAAAGCTTCTCTGCTCTGTGGGCCGGGGTGGCCGGGTGGGGCCTGGACAGCGCGGGGCCAGCACTCACAGCAGCTGCAGCTGGTCCTGCCTCCGGATGAGAGCGTTCTTCTTGTTGACCAGTGTGAACCACTCCTGGATCAGCACCTCCTCCTGCAGCTTGTTGGCACCTGAGCCCGGCCTGACAGTCACCAGGCCTGCCCCTGAACCCGGGGGGGGGGGGGCGGGGGGGGGCACTCCCTTATGGCATCCCAGAAGCCAGAGCTGTGTGTCTCCAGCAAGCTGCTTCCCTTGCTCAGGGCCTCAGCGTGCCCAGCTGTAAATGGGGACGATGAACCCAGCCGCCTCCCCCAACTCCTCCCACGGTCAGGAAGGGGCTGCGGGACTGGGCAGATCGGGTGGCATGTGTTGGGGAGTGGACTCTAGACGCCTGGCCCACCTGATGCCATAAGGCTCCTCAGCTGCGTCTCCACCTCAGCTGCCCGCCCATCTATCTGCCTCTGCTCCTGTTCCAGGGCCTGTAGCTCTGCACACACGTACTGACTTGTGTCCTGGAACCGTTGCTGGGGTAAAAAGGGAGGGGGAACAGGGTGGATTCAGCCCAGGCCCTGCCTAGGAAGTGCCCACTCATCAGCTCCTCCCACCTCAGCCCACCTTACCAGCCCAGCCTCTTCCCCTGGGTTTGGGGATGGCTCCTCCAATGGGGGACTGCCACCTGCAGACAGAGACCAGGCTAAGTCACCTCCAACTGACACCTGCCCCCAAGAGGTCCCCAGTGCAGGACCAATGAGCAGCTGGAGTTGAGCTGGGTTCACCCCTTCAAAACTACTCACCAGAGGGCTGCTGTGGGGCTGGGGCTGGGGCTGGGGGTGGGCTGGGGGCAGGGCTCAGGCCTTCCTGTGGAGGAAGGAGACAGTGACGGCTTGGAGGGGTTGCCCAACAATCCCCCTGGACCTAGCCAGAGCCTTACACACGGAGGGAAGGACCCGCGATTCCATACCCTGCCCATCCAGCTGTCTCCAGTCCTGCATGCACAGCACCCCAGCCCCTAGCTCCTCTAGGAAGAATTCTCCATCCCTAGCCCTATGGTCCTGGCCGGTCGACTCCCACTCTCTGAGCCTCACCAACCTTGTTCCTGGGTCCTCACAGAGTATTGGTGAGAGTCAGGGGTGAAAGGCTGTGAAGCGGCCAACTGCGGCCTCTCTTTCCGTGGCGCTCCCTCTCTCCGGCCACCTCTGACTCCTGTCACCTGGTGCTGGCATCTCCATCATGGCCAGGGCCCCACACAGGGACAGAGCTGGCCTGATGTGGCCATCCTGAGCCAGCACCTCCACCCAGTGACCAGAAGGGGGTGCTCTCCTGTTACCAATTTCTATGCCAGCCCCACTTCACATATCACTCAGAACAGGAAAGTTGCCTGGAACTACCCATTTCTGTTTATTTTCAAAAATATATATTTTATTGATTTCTTACATGGAGGAATAGAGAGTTAGAAACATCGATGAGAGAGAAACATCGATCAGCTGCCTCCTGCACACTCCCCACTGGGCAAGTGCTCGCAACCAAGGTACACGCCCTTGACCAGAATCGAACCTGGGACCCTTGAGTCCGCAGGCCGATGCTCTGTCCATTGAGCCAAACCGGTTAGGGCTAAAACTACCCATTTTAGACTGGAAGGGCAGGACTGGCCCCTGATGTGCCTGCCCCTGGCGATTCCCGAGGATAGACCTGGGGGCCCCCAATTTTCAGCTCAGCTGACAGCCAGGCTCCATTGATGGCTCCTGCTCTAGGTCACCCCACTGTCCACCCCACCCTGCACCCCTCTGAGAGGGAGCCCTAGACACCCCTTGCTCAGGTGCCATCTCTCTGGCCTGAGTCAGTGGTGGCCTCCTCACCAGCCACTACCTATGCCCTTCCTGCTGACAACCCGAAGGCCACAACTGAAGGGTCTTCCTAAAACCGCCACCTCGCCAGCCCCCAGCCTCATTGCCAAGGCCTACCGGCAGCTGCAGCCTCAACTCCCACTACCCTGAACCCCACCCAGTCACCACCCTCCAGCTACAGTCATGGACTTCACTTCCCCAAGTAGCTTCCTCAGCCTGGAGTCAACTTGACCTTCATGACCCGGCTCAGCTCCACCTCCTCCAGAAGCCCCTTCGGGCTCCCAAACCGCTTTCTGCTTCCCTCTTTGACCTTCCTGCCTCCTGAAGCGCCTCCCTGAGCCCCAGGCTGGGCAGATGGCCTCCTGGGCCTCCCCCATCATAGCCCTACCCCCCACCCCATCATGGCTGTTGGTTACCCATGTCTCCCTGGCCAGAAGTAGCCCCTGCAGACAGGGTGGGGCCCAGAGAATGCACTCAGAGTACACTGATTAACCTAAAACATTATTATTATCATTAAAGAATAGCTGAGATTGCTTCAGCATTCATACGCTGGGCACTATGCATGTATTAGCTCATTTAATTCTCCCAACAACCCTGAGAGGCAGGGACTACTACTATCCCCACTTCACAGATGAGGAAATGGAGGGTCAGCGATGAGGCTCATACAGAGCCTGGCCTGGGGCCCAGGGCTGTCTAATCCAAAGGTTTGTTCCCAGCTTGGCCACCGATTCGCTGCTTGCCTCTGGGCTGAACAAAACCACGGGGCCTCTGTTTGTGTTCTTGAATGTCAGATGGGAAGAAATCCCAGCCCTGTGTAACCTGGAGTTGCAGGCTCCAGAGAGACATTGAGGGAAAACACAGGTCCCGTTTTAGAAAGATCCCCGAAGTGGGTTTCAAGGCGACTCTGCAAAGAACTGTCAGCCTTTGCCTCTCATCGCCAGGAAAAGAGCACAGAGGGTCAGTGGCTTTCCCAGGGTCACACAACCAGTCACTAGTGCTGGGCCCAGAAGAAGGCACCATTTAGGAGTTCAGGCTCAGAAGCTGGGTTCACACCTGTATCAACTCCCTTCGCCTCTTTCATCCTCTCCCTGAGCCTCAATGTTCTCACCTGCAAAATGGGAGAGTCATTCCTCCCTGGAAGGAAGGGGCATTGTGAGGAGTCAGTGAGGGCTTGTGGAGGCAGGCCAGGCACACAGCAAGAGCTCAACCACCAGGCAGGCAGTGGCAGGACGGTGGAGAAACCCCAACCTCAGCAGCCACTGAGCTTACTCACACCAGCCCTGGTGGGAATTCCAACACTTCCTCACGTCTGGCCCAAATTCCCCTTCCTACGCCCTGATGTCTGGCCCCTGCTCCGGGAAGCCTTGCTGAACCGCGCCAGAGGCATCCTGCCCTCCTCATGGCATGGCTTCAGCCCCACCCCAGCTGCGAGGTGCCTGACTTCATCCTACTCCAGGACATGGGGAGTGCCCAAGGGTGAGGCCAGGCCTGACATTCCCCCGCTGCACACAAGAAGCATGGGGGATGGGAGAGGCTAATGAGGAGAAGTCCTCTCCAGCCCCACTGGTCAGATATCTCCTGTGGGACAGGAGCAGGAAGAGGCCTGGCTCGGAAGGACCCAGAAGACGGTAGGATGAACTTGGGCCCAGAAGACGGTAGGATGAAGCCTCCCTTTATTTTATTTTGTAATATTTTGATTAATTTCAGAGAGGAAGGGAGAGGGAGAGAGGATTGAAACATCCATGATGAGAGAATCATTGATTGGCTGCCTCCTGGTCCATAGGTAGAGAGATGCTCAACCACTGAGCTATGCCCCTGGGCGGCCACTGCCATTCACAAGGCTGTGTCCAGAGGCCAGCAGACTGGCTCGGCCGAGTGGCGGTGCCCTCTGACTCCTGTCCATCACATCTCCTATGAGGGCCTTTGGGCCTCCCTGTCTCTCATCACGGGCTCAGTGCTGTGCCTCTGACGCTGCCCTCAAGGCTTCTGCTCCCCAGGCTGCCTCACCACCACCTGCGGACCTGACCCGAGAGGCCTGGCAGTTCCCTACGCGAGACCTCAGATGTCCTGCTGCCATGTTTTTGCTTGTGCGGGGCCCCTCCACTTTAGAACCGCCCCTCCCATTCTCCCCCTGGGAAACCTGCCTGTCCTATCGGCCTGGCTCAAAAAAGGCTTTCCCGTTTAATCCCTCCTTTCCTTAGAACTCAGGAGCCATCCCTGGGCGGCTGAGGGCTGGAGTGGCCTGACAGGCAGGATGATGTAGTGGGCAGTGGGCGGACCCCAGCTGGAAGCCCATGGCCTGGACTTCAGTGGCTCTGAGTCCTTGAGCAAACCCCTGCCCTCTCTGGGACCCTCTCCCCTTTAAGATCTGTAGTGACCACGTGACACCCCGGCAGACTCTGACCTGAGACCTGCAGGGGCTGAGAGTACAGGGGTGCCCAGCAGGGTCTCCAATCTCCAACCTCCCCTTACCACAGAAAAGAGGAAATTGGTCTCCAGCATCTGGAGTTAAAGACCCCAGTCAGAGAACGCTGGTGTTGGGAGGCCCTGCATGGCCCCCCTGGGTATGGAAGCCTTGCTCCCAACTCGAAAGGCAGCGACTGCTACTGGTTGCCCCGGGCCACCTGCAGGGGAAGAAAGGCCCAGCCCTCTCTAAAGGCCACACAGAGTGCGCCCCGAGTGCCGACAGCCTGGAGCCTCCTGGGAATTTCCCTCTAGAGCCCATGATTCCAGGAACGGGGTGCCAAGACTTAGAGACCACCGGCAGGTACCTAGGCTGGCGGCCACGGCCAGGGCTCTTGCCCGCGGTCGCTTTGGGCCCGGTGGGCCTCGCTGACTCCTCCGCCAGCACCGAGGTCCCCCTGATCAGAGAGTGTCCCCCCAGCCCTGCTGGGTACCCCTCCCCCCTCTCCCCCCGCCATCTCTGCCCTGAAGCCCCTCGGACCCGCCCCTTTGCTCCCAGGACCCACCCGCGGGGCGGGGCGGCACTCACCGCGGCCGTGGCTCCCGCGTCGGGGTCGTCCGCCGAGAAGGAGCTGCTGTTCCGCAGCCGCGAGCGCCGCTTCTTCAGCAGGTCGGCGTCCCGCACGTGGGAGAAGGAGCCGTGCGCGCGGGGCGGGGGCACCGGCCCGGCCTCCCCGTTCACCGAGGACCGCCGCAGCCGCACGCCGCCTCCCGCGCCCGGCGCCCCGGCCCCGTTCACCAGCGCCTCAGCCGCGGGCACCGACGCGCGGGCTCCGGGGCCCTCCGCCGGGGCCTCCGCAGAGCGCGCCTCCTGGGCGGCCTCGGCCCCTTGGTCCTTGGAAGCCTCCTCGGGGGCCGCCCCTTCCCCGCGGCTCGCAGCCTCCTTCGGCTCCTTGGGCTCCTCGGGCGACTCTGCCCGGTGCTCCCGCAGCCTCTGTGCCAGGCCACTGGCGTCCAGGTCGTCGGGCGGGCTGGGCTGGGTGCTGGCTACGCGGTACGTGCCAGCCCGGCCACCGCCCTCCAGCTGCACCAGCTGCAGCTCCTGCCCCGTGCAGAAGGCGCGGATCTGGCACAGGTAGGTCATGACTATCAGCTTGTCCGGCACCGACAGCAGCACCATGTCCGCGGGCTCCAGCAGCCGGGACACGCCCAGGGCCGCGAAGCCATCGAAGGCCTAGGGACAGGGACGGAGTGCTTGGCGTCAGCGGCGGCGGCCGGGGCTGGCGGTCGTTGCCCAGCTACGCGTGGCCCCACCCTGGACCGCCCCGGGTCCCCAGGACCCGCATGCCAGGGTTTGCCTAGCAACGCCTTCACTCCCCCATTGGAGGAAAAGTAGCAACAGGGCAACGCTCGTGTAGCCCAGCAACTGCGCACGAAGGAGCGGTTTTGGAAAAACCAACTAGTGGAAATATGCTTTAAAAACCCACACAGCTAAAAAAACAACAACAAAAAACAAACAAACAAACAAAAAAACCCCACACAACTAAACGATGGAAAATGAACAATTTAAATTTTAAAAGACCAAAAGGATAAAAGGTGGCAGAACTTCCAAAAGCCGCGGCTGGGGCCCACCATCCCAGCCTCCTCTCCCACAGACACTGGGACCGCAATCCTGGACCTAGGCTCTAGTCTAGACCAGCGGTTCTCAACCTGTGGGTCGCGACCCCTCTGGGGGTTGAACGGCCCTTTCACAGGGGTCGCTTAAGACCATCGGAAAACACATATATAATCACATATTGTTTTTGTGATTAATCACTATGCTTTACTTATGTTCAATTTGTAACAATGAAAATACATCCTGCATATCAGATATTTACATTACGATTCATAACAGTAGCAACATTACAGTTATGAAGTAGCAACGAAAATAATTTTATGGTTGGGGGTCACCACAACATGAGGAACTGCATTAAAGGGTCGCGGCATTAGGAAGGTTGAGAACCGCTGCTCTAGACCCTCCTTCCCGCCAGGCACTGCTCCCTCCCAGCTCACCTGCTTGTTGTTCTGCTTGATGTTGAGTGGGTCAAGGGAGGCATAGTCGCTGTGGAGAGAGCTCTGGTCAGAGGCTGGTCCACACTGCCCTCCTAGCAGGCTCCCCACTTCATTCCCACCCCCTTTGGTGGCTCACATCTTGTCTGGGTGGAATCGGTGCAGGATGGCACAGAAAGCCAAACCGTTGCGCCAGGATGTAGTAAAGTTGGTGACTCGGACGCCACGGTAGCCAGCGGTGACCTCCTGGCACCACTCCAGTAGGGACTGGCTGGAGCTGACCAGGGCAGGTAGTGCCTGGGGACACAGGGATGGGCTTAGGGAATGTGAACATGTGCCCTCTGCCCCTTGGGCATAAAACAGCCCCAGCTCTGGGTTTGTCGGAGGCACCAGAGACCACTGGCCAGAGCCACGGAGCCAGGCAGGAGTTTCCGGCTCTGGGGTTCTCTACCAAAGTCACCTAAGAGATCAGTGGCCCCCAGGCAAGATCAGAGGCCACAGCAGCCACACCTCAAGGTCAGCTCAGAAAAATCAGCTTAAGGATGTCCCACTCCATGCAACCCAGGGAAGACAGGGTGGGGGAGCCAGGGTATCCTGAGAGAGGAAGGGGCGAGGGGGCTCCTTGAAGCTGAGCCCATCCCACCTCACCCCAGTCGACCAGGTGGGTCCATGCAGAGCCGCCGTTAGCTCAGCCCCAGGTTAGTGGAAAGCACAAGACTGGGCCCTCGGCAGCCCCCATTCCCTACCTGGCTGCTGGGCAGCCTCCTGTCCTCTTCAGGCTCCTCTGGGGAAGAGGCCCCTGAGGGCCTGGGCACCCCAGCCCCTGCCCCACTGGCCACCTGCGTCTCAATCAGGCTGGCCTCAGCTTCTCTCCCCTTCTCGGTTCCCAAGACCCCAGCCTCTGCTTCCTGGGCCTCAAAAACACCAGATTGGTTCTCTGGAGGACCTAAAACTTCCACCTCTGCTTCAGGGGCCCCCCACACCCCAGACTTGGCCTCTGAAATCCCCAAATCCCCAGCCTCCAACTCCTGGACCCTCAAAACTGCAGTCTCTGCCTCTGCTTCCTGGGACCTTAAAACTCTATGCTTAGTAACTGGGGCCTTTAACGCCTCATACATGAAGCTCCCGCAGAGCCCAGTCTCTGCCTCCAGGACCCCAGAGCCCTTAGCGTTCTCAGCCTCCAAATCAGTCCTTTCTGTCTGTTGAGTCCCCAGTCCCTCAGCCTCTGCCATTCTAACCTCTGGCCCTGAGTCCCCTGAATCCCCCATCTCTGTCTCCTGGGCCCCTGCTGTCTCAATCCCCACCCCTGGGACCCCTGAACCCCCAGATGCTACCTCCTGGGTCCCCAATATTTCAGCTTCCTCTGTCTCAGTCCCCACCCCTGGGATCCCTGAACCCCCAGCTGCTACCTCCTGAGTCCCCAACATCTCAGCTTCCTCTGTCTCAGTCCCCACCCCTGGGATCCCTGAACCCCCAGCTGCTACCTCCTGGGTCCCCAATATCTCAGCTTCTGTCTCAGTCCCCACCCCTGGGACCCCTGAGCCCCCAGCTGCTACCTCCTGGGTCCCCAATATCTCAGCTTCTGCTGTCTTAGTCCCAACCCCTGGGATCCCTGAACCCCCAGCTGTTTTCTCCTGGGTCCCCAGTACCTTTGCCTTTGCTGTCTCAGCCTCAAACCCTGGAACCTCAGAACCTCCTACTTCTGTTTCCTGGGTCCCCGATGCCTCAGATTTTACTGCTGAGACCTCTGACCCTCCCACCTCTGTCTCCTTGGCCCCCAATATTGCAGGCTCTGCTATCTCAGCTTCTATTCTCAGTACCCCTGAGCCCCCTGTTATCACCTGGGCCCCCAATAGCTCAGTCTCTGCCAACCCCGTCTTTGTTCTCAGAACTCCTGTAGCCCCAGCCTCTGTTTCCTGGGTCTCCGGTTCCTCAGACTCTGCCATCCCAGCGGCTTCTGACTCAGGGACCCCTGATCTCACTGCCTCTGTCTCCTGGGCCTCCAACCTTTCAGCTTCTGCTGTCTCACTCTCTATCTTTGGGAACGCTGATCCCTCTGCTTCTGTCTCCTGGGTCCCCAAAACCTCTGATTCTGTCATCCCCATCTCTGTTCCCAGGATGCTCAAGACCCCAGTTTCTGCCTCCCAGACCCCCAGATCCCTAGACATTGCCCCCTGGTCAGCTGTGGGTGGGGCTTCCTGGGGCCTGCTCACCTGGGGCCTGGTGCTTGCTGCTCCAACAGAGGGGCCCTGCTCCAGGCCTGTCCCCCCAACACCAGAGGCCCCGCCCCTCACCTCTGCACCCCCTCTCTCCTGGCCTGCAACAGCTCTGGACCCCTCGGAGTCACTGAGATGCCTGGAATGCCCTGCAGGCTCTGCTGGTGGTGAGCTCTGGACAGTAGGAGCCTCATCCCGGGTCCTGACCCCTGTCCTCCCCTGAGAGGCCCTCAGAGGAGCCTCAGGAGTTCCCTTGAACCTTGCCTCAGACATCACCCCTGTAGCCTCTGGTCCCTTAGTGTCCACATGTCTCACCTCTGACCTCTGCTCAGCATCCACTTGACTAACTTCTGAACTCTCTTCAGCCTCCCCAGTTCTGACCTCTGACCTCTTGGTGTTCACGCCTCTGGGTCCTGACCCCTGCTCAGTGTCCACCCCACTGGCCTCTGGCCTGACCCCAATGGTGCCTTCCTCAGCCTTGACTTTCTGCCCTCCCAAAGAGTTTCTGCAGCCTTCATCCTCAATGCCTGGGCTCGGCCTGGCTCCCTGGGCCTCTGTCCCTTCCTGAGGGCTTGCCTGGGCCTGGGTCTCCCCAGCAAAACCCACTCCTGCTGGGGGAGCCCCTGAGGCTTTGGGGGCCTCATCTTTCCCTTGGGGGACTGAGGGCCAGGGGGCATCAGAGCCTTTCCGGAGCCGAGGGGCCGGGATGGGGGCCAAATCCTGGTCTGGATGTCTTGAGGACCTGAGGAGAGAGCAGGAGGGGGTGTTGGAGGAGTCACTGGCCCCCCACTCTCAGCCCCAACCCCCCTTCCCCTCCGATTGCTGGGGTGCAGGAGAGGTAGGTTGGTAGAGGGAGTGCAGCTTCCTAACTGGTCAGGGCATGGGGGTGGGGCTGGTTCCAAAGCTCACCTTGTCTCCAGTGGGGTTCCGGGGGGCCTTGGGGCTTCAGGCCCCACCTGGCCCCCGACTACAGTAGCTGGTTCTGACCCCTGGCCCCGGGAGGCCCTGGCTGGGGGCGCAGGGACACTCACAGGGGCTGGGCTGGTATCCTCAGTACTAGACGGGCTGGCAGCTGGGGAAGAAGGAAGGAGAGTGGTGCTGAGGCCTGGGCCCCATGACTGGAGGTCCAGTCCCCATCCAACCCCGGTCTAGGCCTCACCTGCCTGCCGGGGCTGTGCTCGGCCCTCCTCCTCCTCACAGAGTGTCTTCAGCTCCCGAGGGGGATCTGGGGAAGGGTTTGGAGGGGCAGGTTCAGCTCAAGGCAGAGCCCTGAAGGTCTGACCCCCTCCCACCAACTAGAGCGCTGGGCCTACCTGGGAGCCGCCCCGGCCTGAGGGCACCGCCCCGGCCTGCGAGAAGAGACAGGCCCGAGAATGCAGAGAAAAAGAGAGAGAACCAGGAGGACAGACAGAAAAAAAGCCTTAATAAGCTAACGGGAGGGATAAGGAAGCTGGCGACAAGCATAAGCGTGGGTGGTGAGGGTGGTGAGCGGGGACGGCAGCCCCTCTCTGTGCCTTGGGCACAGTTGTTATAGGACAAGTACAAGGTGGGAGAGGCACCCACTCAGGGGTAGAGAGGGCCAGGGGCAGGGGGACCCTGGGAACACATCCTGCAGGACTCAGCCAAGGACCCAGGCCACCACAGGACCAGGGGCCAAGCCTGGACAACCAGGGTGGCAGGGCAGGTCAGAGCTGCCTGGGCTATAGTGAGCTCCCGTCACTGGGCGTGCACATGGCAAGTGGCTTATATATGGTCTTGGTGGCAGTCCACGTCCACGGCTGTGAGCCCACCTGGCTGGGGGGCATGAGCCCGAGCCTCAGGGGCCCCTGGACCATTAGCCTCCTCCTCGTCACTCTCAGCAAAGTCGTCCAAGTTGCCCACGTCACTAGGCTTCACGCTCATAAGGCTCGCCAGACTCTGCATGTCATCGTCCCTGGGGGTCAGAGGTCAGGAGTAAGGGTTGGGGTCGGAGATTGAAAGCTAGGGCCAAGGAGGGCAGGCAGACACTCACGTGGCACGGCCCTCTCGCAGCAGCACCCCCGAGAGGGTGAGGCTCAACTCCGCATGTACCACCTTCACCGACTTGGCCTTCAGCCGCAGCCGCAGCGGAACTTGGGCAGGCACGGGCCCCGCGTGGCGGGCCAGGTCCACCTCAGCTGAGGCCAGCACCTTCCGCTGCCCCTTGGACTCCTGTGGGCCAGGGGGAGGGGCTGGAGGAATGAGTACAGTGCTGCCCCAGAGTCCCCAAGACCCCAGTCCCCAGCCCACCACAGGCACTCACATTTTCAATAACAAACGTCCACTCTTTGGCCTCATACTGGTCCACATGGGGGTCCTGGGAAAAGCAGGCACAGGTGAGCACAGGGGCTGCTGGGGGAGGGGCGGGGCCGGGAGAAGAGCCTGTGCCGGCTCAGAAGGTGTTGGTTGGGGCCTTCCCACGTGCTGGTCCATCCCACCTGGGCTGCCCCTAGCTTCTCCTGATCCCGGCTGTCTCTCCTAGAGCCGGTGGCAGGTAAATGTGACCTCCTCCAAGGAGACCTCCTGGCCACTCACGCTGAACAGGCAGGCCCTGCTGCAATTCTTGGTCTCACCAGTCTTTCCTCTTTGGAGTGACAGCCCAGCAGGGGAGCCCTGTGGTTCCCTGGGGCTGTGATCGCCAGCCCAGTCCCTTCCACGTGGAGGGCGAGAGACTCACCCTGTACAGGGTCACGGAGATGTCCACATTCTCAGGTACCATCCACACCACGGTGCCCCGGTAAGGGTTCTGGATGCCCGGCTGCCAGCTGTGGGCCTACAATGAGCACTCTGAGTCCTCCCCCAATCTTAACCACCCCCCCCCTTTGCCCTTGTCTTCAACTTTGACCGCATCTTTCTCTCCATTCTGTGGATTCTGATCTGAACCGGAGTCCACGACCCCATCAGCCCTCACCCACTTTACCCACACCCCACCTCACTGGCCGCAGCCCTAACCTGTATCCCCAGCTAACATCTCCCCCACCTTGGAGCAGATGCGTCGGTTCCGCCGGGTCCACACCACCACCAACTTATCCGGTTGCCTGGGAGGAGTGGGGGAGAAGCGGGGGGCTGCTGGGTCAGGCTGCCCAGCTTCTCCATGTCCCCCAGGGTCTACCCTCTGCCCTCATTCCCCTCCCCCAGGAGAGGGCATGGACAGCCCTTATCTGAAGCCGCAGGGAGCAGGGTGGGGCTGCTGAGGCAGGGTGGGGCCCAGGGCAGAAGGGCAAAGGCCCCATGTAGGTCAGCAGGATCATAAAGACAGGGAGCAAGGGACCAGCACACAGCAAGGACCCTGCAAGAGGCACAGCCCAGGCTGAAAGAAGTCCCTTCACTCACAATATGTGTGAAGTGCTTCTTAGGGTCAGAGCAGAGCAAAGCAGAGGCAGGACCCTTCTGGGCTCAGAACAACAAAGGTGGGGGGAGAATGCTAATCAAGAAGAAAAAGGCATTAAGCTGACTTCGTGTCTGCACAGAGCCTCCTTAAGATTGGATGTGGGAGCAGAAGCATGAGTGGGGGAGGGATGGGCTGTGTGAGGGCTCCAGGTCAGTGCAAGGTCCAAGTTTGGGGGGAGGCCCTGAGTCAGAGTAGGGGGCAGGGGTGCGAGTTGGTCAGAGTCAGAGGGTCCACTGTTCTTAGACCCCCTCCCAGGCCCTTCTATGCCCAGTCCTTTGTCCTTTGCTGGGCCCAGGGACCCGGCCCTGCGTCCCACCTCTCAAACCCAGAGCCCTGGCCCTTAGTTCTGCAGGGCGCCTGGCTCCTGTGAGGGACCTCAAGGAAGACCTCCAGGTTCTATCTAAGCTGAGCAGCATAAGCAGGGCAGACGCCGAGGGCAGGCAGAGGTGTGAGGAGACAGAGACAGTCAAGAGGAGAGTGTGCAGGGCCCAGTCCCGGGCACGGAGCTAACACAAGGCTGGGCCGTGAAGGAAGAGGGCCCCTTTGGGTCAGAGGGTCCACTGCTGCCAGGAGGGCGGGGTGGTTGAGGGCCTGTATCCAGCCCCCTGCCAGGGCATTTGAGCTCACCCAGTTCACTGCCCTCTGGAGTCTGAGCCAAGATAAACGGCTCACTTGTCAAACCCTGAGGGTGCTGAGACCTGGAGAGCTTGGGGGGCCAGGAAAGGTCACCCAGCTGACCCTAGAGGCCTCCAGCTCCTTTCCCCAACCCCAAACAGCAGGGGACGGCGGAGCAGGGGTATCCATGGGGCCTTCCCAGAAAGGGGAAGTGGGCAAGGGTGCCTAGGGAGGGCGGGGCCTGGCCAGTCTGACTCAGGCTGGGCACGCCCTCCTGGGGAGCTTTGACCTGGACAGGGGCAGCTCCCTAACCTGGGCTCAGAAGCCCAGGAGGCCCTGACCGCCCGCCCCCCGTGACTCACATGCGCTGACACTGCCCACACCCTTGGCCTGCTCTCCGGGACCATGTCCAGTATCCTCTGACCTTACCCAGGGTGCCAGGGTAGAAGGTAGAAGCCAGAGGCCCGAGTTCCCTCCCGTACCAGCCCTGTGCTGTGCCACCCCGTCCAGCCCGTCTGCTCCGGGCCTCGCTGAGAGGGCTGGCCCAGGCAAGACCAGGAATATGGCAGCTACCTAAGGACCCCAAGGTCTCTTCCTGCCCCAGCAGCCCTTCCTCCTGGGAGCCTAAATTTAGCCTGGCGGGTAAGATCCCCTCAGCTGTGCCCTAATCCAGCCAAGGGAAGCTGACACCAGTGAACACATATATTTAGGGTGTGACGCAGGGGCCTAGGCAGCTGTGGAGAAGGAGATACCCCTCGGTCCTCTGGCAGCCCAGGCCAGGTCCCGCACCCCCACATGTCTCCCCCACCCCACTACCTTGCCCTCTCCAGGCCTCCTCTTCCCCGACCCACAACCTCCCAGGCCCCTTTAAGCCACTCCCGCCTCCCTCCTCATCCCTCCCAGTGCTCAGTTTCCCCTTTTAAGGACATTGTGGAGATGAATCCAGCCTCCCAGAGCCCAGTCCGGCTGGGGGGGGGGGGGGGGGATTCTCTGGCTCAACAAGTGGGCAGGGGAGGAGGGGACAGCATCCTTGTTCTGAGCTGAACTGAGGCCCATGAAGGCTTCTGCCCCAGCCTGGCTGCCGGCACCTCCAGACTGGCCACCTTGAACCACCCCTCGGGCCCCAAACATGAGGCCTCCCTTCCCCCCCAGCCCTGAGCGCAGCTGAGGGAAGTGTGGGCGCAGACAGTCTCAGGCCGGAAGTCCTGACTCCACTCCCTCAAGGCTCCCACACCCCCAACCCCAGGGGTCCCACAAGCGGCAAGGGCCCTTGTGAGCGTCTGTGCCTGGACAGCAGGGGCCAAGCCAGGGTGGGGGCCACTGCGGTCCTGGCGCCGGGGACGGGGTTGCCTCGGCTCCAAAGGCTGGATGGGGTCCCAGCCGGGGTCCCGGGCCTCCGCCCACTCACCATTTCTTGGTGCACTCCACCACCAGCTCGTGGTAACAGGCCACGAACTGGAACTTGGCGGCCCGTTTGCCCACGCGCTGCAGGCGCTTCCACACCGAGGTCATGGCCCCGCCGCCCCGCTCCTCAGAGCCCCGGCTCCCGCTGGCCCGCGACCGCTGGCCCCGCCCCGGTCCCCATGGCTCCCGGCTCCTGGCCGCGCTGCCCGCCCCGTCGGTGCGGAGGTGCCTGAGGCTCGGCCCCGGGCCGCTGTCCGGGCTGCCGCCGGTGGGTCTGGCAGAGACGCCGGGGGCGGCCGGCCGGGGCGCGTCGGTCCCCGGAGCGCCGAGCGGAGAGCGCGCCGTTTCCTGGAGCCGCACCCCCGTCGGAAGGCGGGCGGGGCTCCGGCGGCCGCGGGCGCGGGGCGGGGCGGGGCGGCCGGGCTTCCGGGGCCTTTCACCCAGACCGAGGGGGGGAGGGCGGGCCTGCAGCGCCCGCTCGTTGCGCTCCGAGGCGGTGTGGACGCGCTGGCGGGGGAGAGGGTAGCCGCACCTCGGGGCGCCTCCCTGCCTGCCCCCGGCCCCGCGGGGTCCGTACCGGTGGCCCCATTTCACAGGCGGGGAAACAGAGGCCCAGGAAAGGGAGGAGACTTGCTCAGGGTCACAGTGCGAGTCTGGACCAGAGCCAGCCGCACTCACACCGGGTGGCAGGAGGAGGAGCCAGGGACGGCCTGGTGGCTCTACCTGCGGACGGCACCCAGCGCACCCATCGGCCCGTCAGGAGGAAGCCAGTCCCAGCAGCCAGCGGAGCTGGGGGTTCAGACCGCGCACACGTGCGTGACCCGGCAGAGCGCGCCACTGAGCCCGGCCCCCACCTGTTACACAGGAGTCATTACAGTCCCGCCTTTCACAGTGGCGGAGAGGATGAAACCTTGGGAAGTTGTGTTTGTACTTGGAAACCTTAGTTTGAGTTTTCTTGGCGTAGAATCCGTTATCACTAACGGGACTGCGTGTTGACGCTCCCTCCCCCGGGGGAGTCCGCCTTGGGTGTCAGCCACTGTTCACACCTAGATTAGAGCCCTCGGGACCCGCCCGCCCGGTATGGTAATGAGCCGCAGGTGTCAGGCCGAGTGAGAGAACCGGCCCGGCAGCACATCAGCCTGTTCCCTCCCGCCAGCGCCCGAGCTCTGCAAGGTTGGTGAGCGGACAGAGAAGCCTGGTGCTTGACAAACTCCATTTACACAGGATGCCTCATCTGCCAGGAGTACCGCCGAGTTGTCTCCAGGAGGCAAGAAACTGGGCGTGGGTCTGCGCAACCCCAAAGCCTAAGTGAGCGACTTCCTGGTCCTGTTCTTGCTTCTTGGTCCCCGTTGTGGGGTGATGCCCAGCCGGTGTGGCTCAGTGGTTGAGCGTCGACCTATGAACCAAGAGGTCATGGTTCAATTCCCCGCAGGGCACATGCCTGGGTTATGGGCTCGATTCCCAATGTGGGGCATGCAAGAGGCAACTGATCAATGTTTCTCTCTCATCATTGATGTTTCTCTCTCTCTCCTCCCTTTCTCTCTGAAACCAGTCATATACATATGAAGTTGGGGGGTGTTTGTGTGTGAATGAGGGAACGAGGACCCACCATCCCCAAGTATGCAGGCTCCTCTGGTGGGTTTGGATCCCAGTCCCAGCAGAGTGGTCCTCCATTTCCTCTGTAAGACTTTTTAACTTACAACCCTCAAGGTCCCAAGTGCTGTGGGGCCAGGCCAGGCTGTCTGTATGAGACTGAGGAATGGGGGTGTCTGGGACCCTGTCTTATGCACCAAAGCCGGGGGCACTGACCCCCACCTCTCCTTCAGGGCTTGTTTGGCCTCTGGGAGACCTGGGATGGCGACTTCACCCCCTTCTACCTCTGCAGCTCTTTCCTCCCACCCACAGGGCGCTCACTAGCTCCCAGGCCCTTCCCAGAAGTGCCTTCCCCGCTCTCTCCCCCCTCCCCCTCCGAGGGGCCCCTTGGCCTGCGAGCTCTGGCCCACCCATTTCCTGTGCCGCCCCAACTCCGCCCGCCTCGACTCGCGGTGGAAAATTTCTCTCCTTCAGATGGGCGGCTCCTTCTCCTTCCTTCCAGGCCGCCAGGAAGGCCCCGAGTGAGTGGGAAGGAGGCTGGGCTCCAGGCCTCCGGCCAGAGAGGGGAAGTGAGTTGCCCGCAGACACACAACCGCGGGGCCAGGCTGGGCCAACTTGGAAAGCTCCCCGGTCCGCCGGGGGAGGATGCGCACCCGCCGCCGCCGCCTTTTCTCACTCGGTTCCGGCGCCACCTGCCGGCGGAGCACGGGGCCGCACTTGCCAGAAATGCCGCTCTTCCCGCCCCAGAACCAAGCAGTCGGAACGCTGGGACGCTGAGAGGATTTATTGATCTATGCGCCCAGGAGGCTGGCCCCTCAACTTAAATATCCTGCGCAGAGTCTTGGCCCTCCCGGCTGTGGGCGGGTGCCAGACTGGGTCCTGGAGCCCTGGTCGAGGGCAGTGGAACCCAGGGACCGGAGGTGGGATGCCCCGAGCCAGCAGCTGCCAACAGCAGCACACGCTGAAGAGGAGATGGGAGTCAGATACGCATCCCAGTCCGAGATACCAAGGGAGAGAGGATGCGCTGGGCCCACGGACAGACTGAAGGTTGGCTAAGCCGAGGTGCATACACGGGGAAGAGGTGGAGGTCCAGCGCCAGGGGCAGCGGCTGTAGCCCAGGTGCCTGCCCAGAGGCAGCGAACCCGACGGGAGAGGAGGTTGGCAGCTGTGCCTCTGAGGGACCAGGCCTTCCCTCCAGTGGAGGGCGGTGGTGAGGGGGAGCAGGCACTACTGTCTGTGTACTTGATGAGGGGTACGCTTCTGAGCCTTTTGCATGGGTACATGCCCCCCCCCCCCCCCCAGCTCTTCAGAGGTTGATGTGGAAGGCATCTTGCAGCCACTGGTCACGGGCATTGTGCGTCTGGGGCACAGTGAGGGGAGGTGGGTCTGGGGGCAGGCTGGCGTCAGGAGGTTCGTCGTCATCGGATAGGCCAGCATCAGGTGGGTAGGAGCTGTCTGAATGCAGGGAAGATGACAGGTCCTGGCACAGGCTCAAGTCTTGGCACAGGTGCTTGTAGTCCTGGATTGACTCGTACAGGCCCCACAGCTGGCACAGCAGGGACATGTCCAACTGCCGCAACCCCACCTGCAAAAGACTGAGGGTGGGCTGGGGTTGGGGTCCAGGCCACCCTCAGCCCAGCCGCAGCCCTAGCCATCTTCCCACACTTTCTCAGTCAAATGTCTGTGGACACAGACGCCACCTGCAAGCTGTGCATCTTTGGCAAGTCACTAACCCTTATCTCTAAGGAGATAACCTTGCAGCGGTTCTCAACCTGTGGGTCGCGACCCCTTTGGCGGTCGAACGACCCTTTCAGAGGGGTCGCCTAAGACCATCCTGCATATCAGATACTTATATGACGATTCATCACAGTAGCAACATCACAGTTATGAAGTAGCAACGAAAATAATTTTATGGTTGGGTCACCACATGAGGAACTGTATTTAAAGGGCCAGAAGGCTGAGAACCACTGAAGCAGGATGGAGTGAAATGCAACGAGGAAAGCGTTTAAAAACACATGGAATTATTGGTATAAACGGTAACTGAAATTACTGTTGCCATATCCCTTCTGACCCAACCGGCTCCGGTACGTCCTGGGAGACCCAGGCCGCGCTGGTTCCGCCCTCTGCGCTCCACCCCACCTCGGGGCTCTCCTATTCGGCACAGCACCCACCCCCTCTCCCACCCAAAGCCCTGCCCGGGACCCAGCTGCTCACCATCTCTTTGCGCAGCGCCGCTAGCGCCGAGTCGAGGTTGACAGGGCGCCGCGGGCCGGGGGGACCGGCGGCAGGTCCGGCGTGGGCAGCGCCCGTGGCGCCGCGGGGCCCTTCCGGGACGCGGGACGCCCGGCTCAGCTCGTCGTGGATGCGGCTGCGCTGGCTGTAGACGCGCTCCAGCTCCCGCCAGGAGCCCCCGCTGGCGTTCAGGAGCCCGCTGAGGCCGCGCGGCAGCGGCGGGAGTCCGGCCAGGGCGCAGCCCGTGCCGCCCGGCGCCTCGGCCGAAGGCAGCCCATTCATGGCCGGGCCGATGATGCCGACTCCTTCCCTCCAATGCTCCGCTCGGGCTGCCGCCCTCGGGGCCCGCACCCCGGGGCCCCACCGGCCGAGCCCAGCCGCCGCCCGCAGGCCGCGCTTTGTTCCTACCCGGACGCCTCCGACTCCGCCCCGCCCCCTCCGCATGGGCGGGGCCTCTCTTAAAGGGGCAACGGCAGCGGGCCCAAGTTCCTTCCCCCCCAGCCCCCACCCCGGCCCGCGGAAAGCTGAGTAAAGGGAATGGGCGACAGAAGGGACACAGAAAAGGTGGGGAGGGAAGAGACCGAAAGCGGCGGGCACGGTTCATTCACGGTTCTTTACGCTCTCCCAGCACTGTGTTGAATTATCCTGTCCAATTATAACTCCCAAGGGAAAGGATCTAAAAGCGGGCTCAGGAGGCTGGGGTAAATCCATACTTGGTCCCTAACGGGCAACCTGATGCCTTGTCAGTGTCTGAATACCCGGGCTGGGCAGGGAGGCAGCTACCAAGGGGACTGGACTCCCTAGCTCACCAAAGGGTGGAGAAGGAGCACTGGATGGCTCAGGAGGCCAGAGGTGCTGCGAGGCACATCCCCCCTGTTCCTGACTTTTCGGAGGCAACTATCTCAGAGTCCTCTCCCTCCCCATCACCCCCGAGTGGGGAAATTGAGCAGAAACAAGCCCGACTCATGTCTCGGGACATCAAGGAGATTAGATAGTGGGAGGGTGAGAGACCAAAAGCAGGAAAAAGGCGAGTGCCATTGGGGCTAGCATGCACACTCAGAACCACGGCAAGAACAAACCACACAAGAGGAGCAGCTGTTTTTCTAGCGGGTTTTTCTCAAGGGGGGGTCTCTCAGTGTTGCAGCTGCTGCAGGCTTTGCAGGGCTTCAGCACAAGCCCGGATAAGGCTACACAGCTGGATGCTAGTCTCCAGGGAGGTGCTAGAGCCCAATTCAGCTGAGGCCCAGGTCAGCTTCTGCAGGAGGGCCTCCTGTGTGCTGGCCATGACATCTGCATTGGGAGGCACAGCAGGAGGGGCCGGCCCCTGGGCTGCCTTGAGCCCTGCTGCAGCTCCCTCACAGTGCTCTGGGCGGGGTACTGGGGGCTGAGGGGCGGGCCGAGCGCCTGAGGGGGGTTCCAAGGCAGAGGCGAGCTGGTGCTCCCGAGCTTGGGAGAGGGCAGCCTGGGCATTCAGAGCTAAAAGAGGAGAAACCGAGTAGAATGGTCAGGATGCCTGGCCCACCTCGGCCCTGAGCCACCTCCTAACTCTCTACTGCTCTGCTCTTTATGTGCCTCAGATGTGTTCCCTGCCACTCTACAGGGCAACTCATTCATTTTCTTTTTGTCTCATGTTTACTTACGTCCTCGAGTCATCGGTCTCAGCAGGACTATGCCTCATGGAGCCGGGACCCTCCCCTGTGTCTGGCACACAGGAAGTGCTCGGCACACAGGAAGTGCTCGGCGCTCTTACTGAATGAATGCTCCTTTATAGAGCTAACAGGAGAAAGCCCTTACCTCCGTCCCACTCAAGGACGCCACTGCCACCTCCCAGCACTACTGCTCCCAGGGCTCTATCACCACGCTTCTCCACCAAGCACACTCAGCCCCTCACCCGGATTATCCTTATCCACGTCTGAATCGAGCTCCTGACAAGCCACGCAGTAGGTCTGCCGCTGTTTGTTCTGGAGGAGGATCGTCTAGGGGCCAGAAAGCACAGCGGCAGGGGTGAGACGCCAGGCAATAGGGACCGGAGAGGAGAGGCTGGGGAAGGGCCGTGAGGCCTAGTCTGTGTCCCATCCCTGCTCCCACATCCCGAGTCCCTCCTCACCCCACAGTCCGCGCACGTGTCGCCCAGCATGCGGTAACCACGCAGGAGGTAATCGCCCATGAGCGAGGAGATGCGATTCTGCCGCTCCCGCCGAGCTTGCAGCACCTTCGTCTCCGCTTCGGTCGGAGGCTCCCAGGAGAAATCGTCGACTTCTGGAGAAAGAAAGGCACAAAGGACCTGGTCCCCTCGCCGAAGCAGGTGGCCTCCCGGACCCCGCAGCCGCGGACCCCGCAGCTCAAGTCCTCACCTGCACCGTTCAGGGCCATGTTGCCCGTTGTCGCCGCTGGGCTCAATGGAAGTGACGCACAGGCAGAGCGCCTGTCTCCGGCTCCGCCCCCTCCGTGGTGGGCGAGGGACGAGAGCGGAAATGACGCACAGAGGCTTCCCGGACGTCGCGACGCCCCGAGTGAGGCGTGTCTGCTGTAGACCACCCAGCCCAGTTCGCGACCCCAGCGGGAACCCAGTAGGAGGGGCTTTCCCGCGGTGACTCCGCTCGGCTCGCAGCGCACGGGAGTGGCTGCGCAGGCGCTGTTCTGCCCGCCGGCTCCGCCTCCCCGGGGGTTTCCCTTTCCGCACTGGCCGGACCATTGACGGGCGGGGCAGTGGCGTCATCACTGCAACACCCTTGCTAATAGCGGACGGCCCCTTGCTCGCGCGTGGAGCCTTTTCAGGCCTCAGTACTTACCACTTCAACCTGCAAGGCAGGCCAGCAGAGACCATTCTCAATTTCTATACCTTTCAGCCTATTTGCATGTTTGGTGCCCCAGTCTCTCCATCCCCTGCCTACCCTAAGACCTGGGACTGATAACGGAGTCAGCTCCTAACTTTTTTTGAAGTTAAGCCCTCAAAAAACCTGGTGCTTAAAAACACTGTACTGGGCATGCGCAGTTCCGGGAGCGGCCACAGCTGAGGAATGCTTGCTGGAGAGGGAGGGTGAAGGGCTTGTTTCACATGTCGGTAACCATTATGCTTTCCTTGCTATTAAAATTACTCGTGCTCCCTAACATTGGTCTTGGTGATTTTTTTCTATTTTCTTTGTTCTTTTCCATACACATCCTCTCCCTTTTTAGGTTTGGCCAAGCCAGATGGGGCAGGCAGTGGGCTCCAGAGGCACAGCCTGCAGTGCCGCAAGGCTGTGCACCAGGGCAGTGGAGAAGGACCTAGGACTTAGACGTCCCATAATCTCATCTGCAACCTCCTTCTTTGGTTAGGCAGCACATGCTTCTGCAATATAACCTGAAGAATTAATGGGAAAATATCCTCAGGTGAGGATTAACAAAAATTAAAAATGGAACTGCCATTTTCTGATCCTTGCTGCCTCTTGCTTACTTGGAGAGCCCCGAGCCCTCTTCGCTCTCTCCCTCTCCGGGCAGTGTCCCTGACTCGGGCCCTGGCCTCACGTCAGTTCTGCCAAGCTGACTAGAAGGATTCTCGGATTCTAACCTGTACGCGTAGACCTTCCTGGTCCTCGCTGTCTTCGGCTCCCAGCCTCACCCTGAATTCTTCAATGCACCTTCTGTGTCATCGTCATGGCCAATATCCATTCAACAGCCTAGTCTGCCTGGCACCAATGAAGACCCTTACACTCATCCTCCCATTTAGCTCCCTTCATTTCCTCATGACAACCTTATGCGGGAGGTACTGCAGTTATCCCCATTTTACAGAGCAGGAAACTGAGTGATTCTTTTAAAATATGAATCAGATCATGTCACTATTTTGCTTAAAACCCTCTGGCATCTCCCCATCACATTTAGATGAAAATCCAAAGTCCTTACTATGGTCTCCAAGGCCGTACAGATCTGGCCCTCGGCCTCTCATCTCTTCCCACCCTCCCTGCCTTCTTCCTCTCCCACCACTCAAGGAGATTCCCATAACCTTTCTCCACTCAGGGCCCCTCCCTGCCTCAAGTTCTGCAGGAGGGTGGACAAGGCACAGGCCTGGAACCAGGCAGGCCCGGTTTGATCCTGCATCTGCTGCTCACTGGCTATGTCACCTGGAGTGGTTTACCTCACCTCTCTGGACTTCAATTCCTCATCTGCCAAACAGGCCTTATACCTGCTGAGCAGGGCAGCTCCAGCTGGAAGGCAGTGTGGCTGAGGTTGCTGAGTCAAGGAGTCCCAAATGTGAAACAGATACTGTCAGTAATAGCCCCGCTGCCCAATAGAGGGCTTAGCGCGGCAACGGTTTCCGCTAACGGGGGAAACAAATCATAGCTGATCAAACTATCTAGACTCTGGAGCACTCCGCAGATGTCCGGAATCGAGCTGTTGATCGACCTTGCACTGTCCAGACGGTCTCCATGGTTGTACCAGACATGGCAACATGCCAGCCATCACTGAGCGGGCACAAAGCAAAGGGCTCTGTACTCCTGAGTCCTTCCCAGTCCTCGACAGGGGTGGGCACGTAGAAGGTCCCAGAAGTGCTGGTGATAAAGCCAACGTACAGCAGTGAACTTGGGCTCTCCCATACCCTTCCCTCACCAAAGAGTTTAGCACTCTCTCTGTGAGCCAGCCCAACGCCTGAGGCACTGCTGGCATGGCGGTAGTGAGGCCCATTCCCGAGTGACAGCACACACAACGGTGGCATTTTCACACACGGCTCAATTACAGTCCCCCCTCGACTGCCTCACAGAGCAACGCGTGGCTTACACTGTGCAGCTGTGGCTCTGAAAAATCATAACGTACATTGTCGTATTTTCACACTAACAGTTTCTGAAAAGGGGTCAACTTTCCTTTAGTTTTTTCACTGCCACGTGAATTGATATGACATCTCTGTGAAACAGGCAAGGGCCAGATGATACAGCGATAAAAACAATAATACTCAACTCTTGGTATATGTTTTCTTTGGGCTGGGCACTGTGCTAAGAGCTTTGCATGAATTCTCTCATTTAATCCTTAGGACAGCGGTTCTCAACCTGTGGGTCACGACCCCTTTGGCGGTCAAACGACCCTTTCACAGGGGTCGCCTAAGACCATCCTGCATATCAGATATTTACATTGTTGTGCCCAGATTTGAAGGTTCCCAAAAAGCCCATCAGGGAGCCAGCGAGTCCGATGCAAAAGCAAAGAGTCCTTCATTTCAAACTAGTTCGGCTCCCCGACCACACTCACCGATGCAACAACGGTAAGCCCAGTGGCCGAGAGAGCGAGGCCTGATGGGATTGTGGGTTTTATAGTAAGGGCAGGGGAGGGGACTGTGGGCCCCGCCGATTGGCCAGGCGCGAGTCGGGTCTTGTTACACAGGATGTGGTCATATTGATGGCGTGCACTTCCCTTGATTATCACTGGTTAGTCCAGAGAAATCCTGGGTGTGGCCAGCAGAGGCCTGGGCCTCCGGGAAGAAGCCCCCGCCGAGCACATGGCTCTGCCCAAAAATGGAGAACCCAGGGCAAGATGGAGGGCGCAGTCCTCGCCCCCCCAAGTGTGAGCTGAGCCCGGGCTCCAGGGGCCAGTCCGGTTGCCCGGGGTCCAGCAGATCGACCAGTTCCAGCCCAGACAGGAAGTCCACATCCTCCGTCTCCTCCCTGGGGGCGCCGGCGATCGCCTCCTCCTCCATCTCCTCGGGCAAGGGCACACGCCCCGCCCCGCCGCCGCGCTGCCTGCAGTCCGGTCCGGGGGCAGCAGGCAGGTGGCAGCCTGCGCCGGGCTCCCGCCGAGGGCTGGGGAGTTGGTGACCGAGGCCGCCAGCAGTGTGGTCAGGCTGTGCCTCATGGGGCCCGGCGGCCGGCCCACGTAGGCCCCGCGATGACTCGCCCTTTCAACGTGACGATTCATAACAGTAGCAACATCACAGTTATGAAGTAGCAACGAAAATAATTTTATGGTTGGGTCACAACATCAGGAACTATATTTAAAGGGCCAGAGGGTTGAGAACCACTGCCTGAGGACAATGCTATGAGTTAGGTCTTATCATTATCCCCAATTTGCAGGTGGGGAAGCTGAGGCTGGGATGGGTTAAGCAATTTATCCACGGCCACCCTGCTGGGATGTGGCAGGGCTGGGGCTCCACCCAAGCAGCACACGTCTGCAGCCTAATTCTCACCAGTGGACTTGACCTGCATTTGAAAGTAGAGACGAGTGGTGGGGCTGAAGATCCTCTCTGATTTATCAAGAGTGAAGATAGCCCGGCCGGCATGGCTCAGTGGTTGAGCGTCGACCTATGAACTAGGAGGTTGCAGGCTCCATCCCCAGTGTGGGGTGTGCAGGAGGCAGCCAACCAATGATTCTCTCTCCTCATTGATGCTTCTATCTCTCTCCCTCTCCCTTCTTCTCCAAAATCAGTAAACATGTATATTTTTAAAAAGAGTGAAGATAGGCTCATTTCATTTTCCAAGCCCATCTCTCAGTGGCCTTCATCACAGTACACGGCACATCAGAAGGGCTCAGCGACAGCCACTCTCAGTAAAGTGTCATTGGAGACACGTGCTTCAAGGGCAGAATGTCCCCTCCAGGCCTCTGAAATGTCCAGCCCTCATCTTTAGAGCTGAGGTGCAGTCCCCAGCTATCCACCCCAGTGCCGAGAAGCTTCCCTGAAACATTCAGGAATCAGAGAAGCGGCACCGAGCCCGGCAACGGTCAGCTCTTTTAATGGTGCCTCCCCTCCCACCAGCCAGCCCGTCGTGGCTCCCAGACCCAGATAACAATGAAAAGAATGTGTGTGCCGAGCACTTATTATGTGGCCAGCATCTTCCAAGGACTTCCTAAATGTAGGCTCATTTGATTCTCTGCTTAAAAATGAGGAAATGGAGGCATGGAGAAGTTGAGATATTTTCCCAATTCACATAGCTGGTACAGGATGCAGCCAGGAAAAATTCATGCCAGAAAACAACCGCTATGCTATGCCGCCTCCTGAAACATAACTTCCGTTATGCAGGCGGCGGCTGCCCTGTCCAGCCGATTCCCCTAACGCAGCATGGGGAGCCTGGGTTTGAGTCCTGGCTCTACAGTTGACCAACTGTATAACTTCAGCCAAGTCCCTTGCCTCTTCTGGGTTTCAAGAACCCCTCTGCACAAGGAACCCTCCCCTAACATTTAAGTGGTCTGACCTGTCCCTGGGTTCTTTGTCCCATTCCAGCAAAGCCCTTCATTGCCCTCGGGCCCACCCCCGTGTCTTTAGGACATTGTGGGACCCCCTCACGCCTCCATTCCAGGAGCACTGCGTAGGCTTCGGGTCAGGAAGACCTGAGTTCAGGCCCCACATCTTATCACCCAATGACCTGAGTCTAATTCAGCGGTTCTCAACCTGTGGGTCGCGACCATCGGAAAACACATATAGCAGATCAGATATTTACATGACGATTCATAACAGTAGCAACATGACAGTTATGAAGTAGCAACGAAAATAATTTTATGGTTGGGGGGCACCACCACATGAGGAACTGCACTAAAGGACCGCGGCGTTAGGAAGGTTGAGAGCCGCTGGTAATTGTCGCATCTTGCAGAGCCTCACTTTCCCCTTTGGAGCGGGCTGGGAGGATGAAATACTGTAACCGTGTAAAGCACACAGTAAGCGCCGGGGGCTCTTGTGGCCTCGCTCTCCATTCAGTCAACAAACTTCAGCAGCCTGTGTGTGCAGCCCTGGGCTAAGACCTGGAGTTTGTGCCTTCATGGGAGGCCAGTGAGACAGACAATAAGCTAAGATCTGGAGTTTGTGCCTTCATGGGAGGCCAGTGAGACAGACAATAAGCTAAGATCTGGAGTTTGTGCCTTCATGGGAGGCCAGTGAGACAGACAATAAGCACGTAGTCAAACTCACAGTGTTTCAAGTGGTTTCCAGCAGGAAACAAACAGGTAATGTGACCCAGAGGGCCAGCATGGCTGCTTTAGAAAAAGCCACACAGAAATACCTCCCAGAGGCCAAAACCGGTTTGGCTCAGTGGATAGAGCATCGGCCTGCGGACTGGAAGGCCCCAGGTTCGATTCCGGTCAAGGGCATGTACCTGGGTTGCGGGCACATCCCCAGTAGGAGGTGTGCAGGAGGCAGCTGATCGGTGTTTCTCTCTCATCGATGTTTCTGACTCTCTGTCTCTCTCCCTTCCTCTCTGTAAAAAATCAATAAAATATATTTAAAAAAAAAAAATTAAAAAAAAAAAAAAAAAGAAATACCTCCCAGAGGCAGAAACCCAACAGCCATCACTCAGGACAGCCATCACTCAGACAAAGGACTGGCTGGGCTCAGCGGCTTTTTTTTTTAATTCTCACCCGAGGATATTTTTCCAACGATTTTTAGAGAGTGGAAGAAAAGAGAGGGAAAGACAGAGAGAAATATCGATGTAAGAGAAACAGGATTGGTTGCCTCCTACAGGAGCCCCGAACAGGGCCCTGGGCCAGGGAGGAGCCTGCAACTTGACCGGAATTGAGCCCGGGACCCTTCAGTCTGAAGGCCGACACTCTATCCACGGAGCCAAACTTTGTAGGTACAGGTGAGCAATGAGAAGCCATTGGAGGTTTGTTTGTTGTTTTTTGTTTTTTAAAAAAAAAAATATATATATATATATATATTGATTTCAGAGAGGAAGGGAGAGGGAGAGAGAGATAGAAACATCAATGATGAGAGAGAATCATTGGTTGGCTGCCTCCTGCACTCCCCCCACTGGAGATCGAGCCTGTAACCCAGGCATGTGCCCTGACCAGGAATCAAACCATGGACCTCCTAGTTCATAGGTCGACGCTCAACCACTGAGCCATGCCAGACTGGGCATTGGAGGTCTTCAATCAGAGTAGTAGTATGGCTGGAATCAGGCAACTACGGCACCAGGTGGAGGAGGGACCGACCAGAACAGGTAGACATGGTGGTGGGGAGACCGGTGAGGCAGCAGAAAGGATCTGGGATGACCACAGAGGTCATGGTCTCCTTGGACTTACAGGAAAACGTGCATCTTGGAGGCATGAAAACATGCCAGTAGCTTCTAGGAAGATGGGGTGGCTGGGGGGTGGCACAGAGATGAAGATAGAAAAGGTGGTCGAGCCACCGACAGCACGTGTGGACTGTCGCAGCCTGCCTGCAGACCCACTGTGCGCCCTTGGTCTCCCTGCTCCGTGCCACAGGCTAATGTGTGCTGTATCCACCCAGGCTCTCCGGGCCAGGACCAGACTAGGTAGTATCCTCTCCCTGGCTCCCTCCCTGCGGGCTGCAGGGCGACAGGCTCAGGTCCCCGCTGAGGGCTCTGCTGGTCCCCAGGAGGGGTGTGCAGGAGGCTCTCTCGCCTGTGTTTCTCTCTCTGTCCCTCTCCCTTACTGTCTCTCTAAAATCAATAAAAACATATTTTTTAATACTTTTTTTTTTTTTACACATTCTATTGATTTTTTACAGAGAGGAAGGGAGAGAGATAGAGAGTCAGAAACATCGATGAGAGAGAAACATCGATCAGCTGCCTCCTGCACATCTCCTACTGGGGATGTGCCCGCCCGCAACCCAGGTACATGCCCCCGACCGGAATCGAACCTGGGACCTTTCAGTCCGCAGGCCGACGCTCTATCCACTGAACCAAACCGGTTTCGGCAGTAAAAACATATTTTAAAAAATGTTCAGTCACCCACCTGGCAGGTGGTAAGCACTCAGTATTATTCCTGCTGAGTGTGTGACCTGAGCCCTGAGGGCAGGCGGGGCTGCCCCTCCCTCCCTCTCCTGGATCCCAGCAGCTGGGAAGCCCTGGGGACAAGGGATAGCTCCTGCCCCAGCCCTGCAACACCAGCCTGAGCAGTTCAGGCAGGGTCTCCACGAAAGGGTTTCCCTCAGTCCTCCCCAAACTACCCAAATAAATCTACCCTCAAAGTAAGCGCCATGAGCTCTTGGACAGGTGTGCCTGAAGGACCCATCCCGAACCCCCTTCCTCAGCCAGACTGCCATCCCCGCTGCCCAGCAGGAGAGGGTTTGGTGCCACCCTGACTGGG